AGGGAATTATTTTTCTTCTTCTATCCTTGAGTCGTTTAAACACTTAATCTCATTAACAGTATCAGTTACAACAATGCACCGATATTATTTTCAATTAATCACTTCCGTCTACTATATGAATTGTATCGTGCTTGACGAATCTTAACAATTGGATATTATTATATTATTACCAAAAGACTCCGCATATATACAGGAGTGAACTACTTATATTTAGATATAAGATTATTGATGTACTTCCCCATGTAGAATTCATATCCACTTGAGCAGTCGGTGATGAATCAAAGGGTTATGTCACAATTCCAAGGCCACGTCACGTCAGCTTGGTCTCTTAAATAAATGGTGAGATCCTCCTGATCAGGTTTATTGGACTGTTCAAATTTTATCCAAACGGTTACAAACAGGAGGTCTCTCTAAAAGTTATAATAATTGTAGTTGTTTGATAAAATTTAAACGGCTTGATGGGCCTAATCAAGAAGATCTTCACTATTTTCTTAAGAGAGGATCCTGATCCGTTTGTTAAATCAATTAATTTTATTTTTATTAGACTTGTGTAGAGACATAAGATAAAAAAGTTTTGCCCGTAGAAACATGATTTCAATTAAAAAAGTTTTTAATTGTCGAAAATTGTTAGTTTTATTGGGTTGTCTTATTTCTTTTTGTTGTTGTAAAAAAATCAAAGAACCATGGTCTTTCCAATTGCGTAGTGGCTCATGATAGGTCATGCATCGTGTAAAAAAATTAAAATACATGATGGCTCATGACAGGTCAAGATGCTAGCTGCAAAATTATCGGAATTGGTACAGTGAAGATCAAAATGCATGACGGAATTGTCAGAACACTGGGCAATGTCCGACATATTCCCGAGTTAAAGAAGAATTTGATCTCTTTAGCAACGTTAGATTTTGGTTTGTCGACCAAAGGCGGATTGCTGAAAGTCTGCAAATGAGCTCTCGTTGTGATGAATGGAGAGAAAGTTAGAAACCTGTACAAGCTGCTCGAAGGTATCGTTTTAGGTGAAGCTGCTGCTGCTGCCACTGATATAGAACCCAAAAATGACAACACTGATTTATGGCATATGCGTCTAGGCCATCTCAGTGAGCGCGGGCTGAACGAGTTGCACAAGAAGAATCTACTAAAAGGCGTAAAAGGATACAAACTGGAATTCTGCAAGTTTTGTGTCATGGGAAAGCAGAAAATGGTCAGTTTCAGCACCTCGTCCCACACCAGTAAAGTAGTTATTGATTATGTTCATATTGATATGTGGGGACCCTCTCTGATTGCATCACATGGAAGTTCCAAATATTTCGTCAGTTTCATCGATGATTATTCCAGAAAGGTCTGGGTGTACTTCATGAAGCACAAATCCGAGGTGTTTAATGTTTTCAGACAATGGAAAGCTGAAGTCGAAAACCAGACTGGCAGAAAGTTGAAGTGCATCAAAAGTGACAATGGGACCGAATACAAGGAAAACACTTTTCTAGAATACTGCAAGAATGAAGGTGTTGCTCGACACTTTACAGTTAAGAAGACTCCTCAACAGAATGGAGTTGCTGAAAGAATGAATAGAACATTGCTAGAACGAGCTCGGTGTATGAAGCTCAATGGCAGAAGAGATGGAATCGCTCAGAAAGAATCAAACTTAGGAATTGGTGGAATTGCCCAAGGGAAAGAAGGCTATTAGGTCCAAATGGGTTTACCGAGAGAAGGAAGCAGTCACAGCAAATGATGGAGAGAAGTTTAAAGCCTGACTTGTTGTCAAAGGATACTCGCAAAAAGAAGGTATAGACTACAACGAAATTCTCTCTCCAGTATCAAACATACCTCGATACGAGTGATTTTATCGATTGTAGCAATGTACAATCTGGAGTTAGAACAACTAGATGTGAAAACAACTTTCCTACATGGAGAACTAGACGAACAGATTTACATGCAGCAGCTAGAAGGATTCAAAGAACTAGGAAAAGAAGTACTAGTTTGCAGATTAACGAAGTCCTTGTACGGCTTGAAGCAATCGCCCAGACAGTGAGTGGTACAAGCGGTTCGATACATTCATGGTATCTTGTGGATACACCCAATATGAGTTTGATTGTTGTGTTTGTGAAATCCCGTTCCTAGATTTCATTGTTACAATCTACGAAGAGTGAAGTTTGAAAATTAATTATTTAAAATCCGTAAACCTTTCATCGTCACAAATTATATTTTCGAATAAAGCCCGATATCACGAACGTGTAAACGCAAACCGTTCGTGAAATGGAGTTATAATGAGAGAGTTATTAACGTTTAAAGTTAGGGATATTTTTGTAATTTGACCCTCATTTAGAAGGTTCCAGATTTTCTGGAGCAAAGGAATGTGCCACGTGCGTGGCTCGGATGAAGGGAAAAGAAAATAAATGGGAGAGATGAATGGTTGTGATGGAAAGAAAAGAAGAGAAATGAGGGAAATGATAGGGATGATGACCAATCAGAAAGAGGGAAATGAGGGGAAATGAGATAGGAAAAAAAAAAAAAAAGGTGAAACGGGCTCACCTGCCGACCCATGTACCCAGCAGTGACCCGGTTTGATTCCGGCCAATTTCTACCATTTTTTAGTCGAAATTCACCCTTCCATCACCTATAACCTATTTCATAACCCCCTATCTACCATCTTAGCTCAAATTTGAGAACTTTTGGGTTCAATTCCGTGAAAAAAGATATTGAGATTTTATATTATTTTTTGATGGTTGACTTTTTAGTCAACTATCATGAGTTCTTCTAGTGTGTTGCTAATCTTAGAGGGCGACTGAGATTTTATGGAGCTTGATTGGCTTATCGTGATAACATGTCTCTTCGATTTACGTAATGATGGCATTATGTGGTGATATGCTTGTTTATTTTATATGATTTGACTTTTGTATTGAACTTGTTGTGGAATGGGTGGTTTGAATTGTATGCTTGGCAAATCCACAATCCCCAATTTGTTTTTATGGCAAATCCAGGAAAGGACCATTGGAATGCGGTAAAGTGGATTTTTAGATATCTTGCTGGCACAATTGATTGTGGGTTATTGTATGACCAAAATACAGCTTCAAGCAAGGTAGCCGGATATGTTGATTCTGACCATGTAAGAGATCTAGATAAAGAAGATCCATGACTGACTATGCTTTCACATTCGGTGGAGGATTGATTTCATGGAAGTCTATCCTACAGACAATTGTTGCATTGCCCACTACAGAAGCGGAATACATGACGACAACCGATGCAGCGAAAGAAGTTTTATGGTTGAAAGGTTTGGTTGAAGAATTTGGTTTTAAACAGGATGTTCAGCTGCAATGTGGTAGTCAAAGTGCTATAATTTTTTTTGCTAAGAATCAAGTATTTCATGCGAGGTCAAAACATATAGATATCCAATATCACAAGATTAAAGAGTGGATCAACTCTGAAGAAATTTGTTTGTCGAAAGTCCACACAGATGAGAATGCAACTAACATGATGACCAAGCCAATTTTAGCAAAGAAGTTCAAACAATGCTTGAACTTACTACAAATCACCTCATATTGAGAAGCGGTGCGGCGCACCTCTACCTATGAAAAGGGGTGCATGAAGGGTATCAGAAGAAATACCCTTGGAGATGGCATAATTTGAAGCAAAGTATCAAATATCCCAAAATCATATTCGAAGCAAAGTAACAAGAAAGAAGCAAAACATTTTTTTGGCTTCTCTAGTTTTCTTGGTTTGTTTCAAGAAATAAGGTTTTGCTTGAATGGGTGAGTGGTTTGGTTTTGTACTCTAGTTTGTGAGTAAAACCAACAAGGGTGTATTTGGGATTTTATTGGGAAATGAGGTTGAGAGTTAAAGAGTGTTCCTCTTGTATTCCACTTGTTACCTTGTTAGTGAAAAGTGAGATCTCCCTCCTGTGGACGTAGGCAAATTGCCGAACCACGCTAAATTTCTTGTGTTGTTATTTTTTCTATTTATCTTTGCTTTTATTTTTTAAGTTATTAACTTTTTAACACACATATCTCACAATTTGTACAGAAACACGTCGTGTATCACCCCGTGTATGGGTCACACTGAAAAATCTCTTGTAATGATGAGGCAAGCACACTTCAATTTTTAATATTGTATTAAGTGGGAAAATTAGGTCATAAGTTAGGCCACAAATAATGGTGCTCGGCTGGGAAAAAATTATGATGGTGATTCATTCTCAAAGCCTATAAATAGGCTTCTCCATCAAAGTATCAAATATCCCAAAATCATATTTGAAGCAAAGCAACAAGAAAGAAGCAAAGCATTTTTTTTGGCTTCTCTAGTTTTCTTGGTTTGTTTCAAGAAATAAGGTTTTGCTTTAGTGAGTGAGTGGTTTGGTTTTGTACTCTAATTTGTGAGTAAAACCAACAAGGGTGTATTTGGGATTTTTATTGGGAAGTGAGGTTGGGAGTCAAAGAGTGTTCCTTTTGTATTCCACTTGTTGCCTTGTTAGTGGAAAGTGAGATCTCCCTCCCACGTGTACGTAGGCAAGTTGTCGAACCACGTTAAGTTTCTTATATTGTTATTTTCTCTGTTTATCTTTGCTTTAATTTTCCCATATCATCTTTACCGACGGTACCGCAATCAATCCGCTTTCGTTGCACAACAAATCTCCAATCAATAATTACATTCCTATTCGAATAGGGACTCACGTCAACCTATTGAATGAAATATTTTTTGATTATGGTGCCAGTGATCTATAATCCTCATCAATTCAACCTCATCTATTAAAATCAGAACAATGGTCAAGAAGAAAGTGAAATTTAGCCACTCAAGCTCAAGCGCCAGATGACATAGAAAAGGCCCGCATCTCAGTAGTGAATTCGATAACAAAGGATTTGAATGACCTGTCACCCCTGTCCCGTCACTGTTGTATCAGCAAAGTTCCTGAGCGACTACGGTGCGTGAGGAAGAAGGCCTACACACCGAAAGCAGTCTCAATAGGCCCACTCCACCATAAAACAAAGACTTGTTATACATGGAAGAACACAAACATGAGGTACCTACAACATTTTCTACATCGGACTGGGGTAGACTCGGAGGTTTATGTGAAGAAAATAATGGCCCAAGAAGCAAGACTGCGTGGTTGTTATGATGGAGAAGCCAGGGACTTTAAGAGTGATGTATTTGTAAGAATCATTTTTGTTGATGCCGCCTTCATCATTGAGCTCTTATTGAGGAACTTTTCCCAGCGTTTGGAGGATGATAATGACTGGATATTCACTAAACCATGGATGTTGCAGAATATGGCGCCTGACATGATTTTACTTGAAAATCAGCTGCCATTTTTCATTCTTGAAGATCTTTTCGCAGATGTCACTTCTAACTTGGATAATGCTGAGGACCTGCCTTCACTAGTAGAGCTTTCTTACAAGTTCTTCCAGAAGACGGTGCATTTACAGGGGAATGAAGACAACTTGAAGAACATAATTTCTTCTAGATTGGAAGCAAATCCAGTAAAACACTTTGTTGATTTGATAAGAACTTTACATCTACCATCTTTGAAGAGGTCACAAACTGAAAAGCCACTCGAAAGTACTCTAAATACACCATGCGCTAAGAAATTACACCAGGCTGGTGTCAAGTTTCAGGTCAGTTCAAGCAAACATTTGTTTGATATATCATTCAATATTGATAAAGGTATTCTGGAAATTCCACAAGTAGAAATACACGATTACACGGAGCTTACACTCCGAAATCTCCTTGTATTCGAACAATGCCATTGCATGGAGAATCACATAAGTGATTATCTTCGCATCATGGATGGTTTTGTAAACACCCCAATGGATGTAGATCTCCTTGTTGAGTACGGAATTTTTGTGAATACGCTCGGCGACAACAATAAGGTTTCTATTCTGATTAACAAACTTTGCGTTGGGGTTTCTTCGAACAACGAAAACTACTACTTTGCTGATCTTTCCAAGGAGCTGAGCAACTACTGTGGAAAGCCGTGGAACAAATCAAAGGCAAGCTTGAAACAAAAGTATTTCGACACACCTTGGGCAATGATTTCTGTCTTTGCAGCTGGTTTTCTCATCGTACTCACCATCATACAAACAGTGTGTACTATCATCTCTGTCATTAATTAGTTAAGTATATCGACAGTAAGTCTCCTTAATTCGCCGTTTTCTCCTTATCCTTTACGTAGTATTTGCTTGTTTTATATTTTCGTCTCGTTGTTCCATAGTGAGATTCATGCATGTTTGTGTTGTAGACATTTGTAAACCCTCTTGCTAATAAGAGCTGTACGGTTTGTTTTATGATTTGTGCTTAATTTCTCATCTATAAAGTATTATGTCAAAAGAGTCGTTAGAATGTCACATGCAGGTAGCTAGGCCCATTGCAAAAGACACAATTATATATATAGACAAACTTTCCCATCAGTATGTAATACGAAAGCTTTTGTATGTACCGGATGTTCTCTTACGAAGATTTTTCTCTTTTTCTTGAAAATAATGCTATCATTTTCCACTTTAGTATAAAGATAACGTTGGCGGGTTAGACAATTAGTTGTTAAGGGAAAAAAGTTGATAGAGATCGAACTCGTACCAAAATCTATCAGATAATTGTTTTTCATCATTACGATAAAAGTGTTCATTCAACCACATGAACTAAGAAAAGAAAGATAAATACAGGGAGTAGTGGATCTAAATTTGTTTTGGTACGTTGGATCCAAATTCTTTTAGGAGTAGTGGATACGCAAGCGTGTGGATCTAAATTTGTTCATCGACATAAAGTATGTACAAGATTATAGAAGTGGAGATGCTTTCTCTAATGCACACCAAGAATTATACATGAGCAGTTAAATCATTTAACCTAATTAGATCTAACAGATCATATTCAGATATGAAACTTAAATGTGAACTTTTGATGTACACTAGAGAAAATTCATAGGAGATCCACTAGGCTTGGCCAAAGCTCTTCAGAATATAAGGGCTTGTAATATTTATTTTGTTTCTAATATCTATGATCTCTCTTGAATTCCAAACTTTGTATCACTTAGTAATATGATATAATGATATTTCTATTTACCTGTAACTTTAAGTAAGAATTCTAAAGTTTGATTCTCACCAAATACAAATTTGAACCACATTATTAGTAGTCCACATAATTTAGAGACAATGTTGATTTCGTACAATGATTCAAATAGAAGAATTTTAGGAATTATTTGTCTATAGGAAAGTGACATATGCTCTCACATAATTTGAACTCTCATTATTGAACTAAAATCTATTGTTGCATGAGCATTGGGAATCTGGCAGAGATGAGAAGGTCAACTTTGAAGATCATGGCTCTATGGCTTTTTCATCGACTTCTATAGATCATATTTATCTTACATGAATAACTCCCAACTATAATGTACTATGGATTTCACATGCATTACGGGTTGGAAGCCAACTCTATGCATAAAAAATTGTCCTTGTAACCGCATATATATCCTTTTATTGTCTCTCTCACATCACGTGAGAGAAACATATGGCAATGTAAAGAGTTGTCTCACGTTAAAAAATTTAGAAATCGTATATAAACTTATAAAATTTTGATTACTTTTCGTTGTCAATAAATTTAAGAGTGAAACTCCAATTATCCAACGATGATACTTATGAGCCTCATAGACAAATTTGGGCCCATCTGGCCCCAGAGTTGAACAATGCCAAACTGCAAAATCACAATCAGCTCAGCTATCAGGTCACGGGCAGAGTTGGTTCAACTGCAGAAATAATGGTGCAAATAATACTGCAGAGTGCAGAAATTAGGGTTTATATCATTCATGTGGTCCTCCACCCCCTCATTGCCAAGAGTTTAATGACCTATCTTCATCTTCAGCCGCCCAAGATGCAGAAAGTGAAAATTCTAGGATGCATAGATGCATAACATATGCAGGTGGCGCTTTGCTACAAGCGGTAGAAAATAATCATGCTTATGTACTTTGATGCAGATTTAATCTCCATTGATTTCCTCATCCATAATGAATAACTATTTAACCAACTAATGCTTTCGCTCTACTAACAAAAATGCATAACATATATTGCGGAATTTAACAGATAAATTTGCACTGAAAAGTTTGAAAAAATTTAACAGGTGGATATGATTTACTTGGAAGGCAATGTATAGTGCCATTAGTGCTATAGTTTATGGTCTTCCATTTTCACTTGTATAAATGAGAAATCTGAAGTTTTTAATTCTCGTAAATTACAAATCCGATACTAATTTATCAAGCTGAGCTATTGTGTGATTTACTCCAATCCATATCGTTGTGTATAAGTACAATATACCCAAATATACATAGTTATACAGTAGGACTCTCCAGAGCTCTCCTGCAGTTGACCTCTCAGTGTTGGTTTGGATTGGCCAACCATTTTAGGTAAAACTAATTATTTTTTAGGTTGCAGTTGGGATTGTAATTAATCAAAATTGAGTTAGTTAATGAATTAGTTCAACTAATTTGTACTTGTTTCCTAATAAGCCCCTACAATTGTATATAAACTAACAAGCAATACACACATGCAATTATGCAAGTGCAGCTTGTTATTACCAGGACCCACCCACCGACCCATTATGGGCGCCAAATTCGTGAAATGTCAAAGGAATGACCAAAGCCAGTTGTCAATAGGTCAAATATCTCCCCACCGACACTGCCAATATTATAAGGACTCTTTTTTCTTCTGTTTCCAGACGAGATACTTTATGAATGAGATGTTCGGACATCTTTATTTAAGTTTTTTTTATTTATGGTCGAGGCCAATTTAGGAGCGTTTATCATTATCTCTAAAACTCAATTTATTCTAATTTTTGAGTTTTTCATTTTACACTTTAATTCTCAATACTTTTATTTTGTAACGCATAATGACGAGCAAAGAGGGTGAATAATTGGTTTGCATGGTAGGATTAGCTAGAAGGTTCGTGTTCAATTCAATCACACCACATGCGCCGTTTAGGGCCAAGCATTTTCATTTTTACAATCAAACTCGTCTATTGAGTCCAATATTCATGTCATACAATTACACTCTGATCCCCTATTTATAATCTACGAGTACCATAGTGACAAACTGAGAATGAGAATAACATTTGCTTTGGATAAACCATGCCAACTTTGCTTAGTGGGATTGGCCAGAAGGTTCAGGTAGAATCCAATCAATAAGAGGATCCCAAATGTCAATTAGGCATAAAAAGTTGGAGACTAGCGTTTATCAAACAAAAACAAAAGCGAAAGGTTAAAAGTCGAAAAAGCACAAAATTTGACTGTATGTGTATGTGTGGGAGGTGGGTCATGAGTCACATATTACTTGGTGCCAGATTCACGAATAATTGGTGGTGGTGGATCCACATATCATAGAGGAGGAAAGGAACCTGTGGGCTCCCTTCCAATTGACAGTTTGTCCACAAACCTAAAGAAGACAATATTGTTGTTTTTCCTCACCATTGTCTACAACTCGAAGACTAAAAAGCAAGCATGCGATGCTTCATAAGTATGATTATTTGTATTAATGCATATAACATTCATATTTTTCTCAACAAAGAAAACAATGAGAGGAATCCCCATTTTTATTTTTTTTTAATTACGTAACAAGATTTGGATTGAACCACACAATAAATTTGTCAAATTGAGTCTCACTTGAAATTTTATACTTACAAATAGAAAGAATATCACAAACATTACGTAATGTCAATAGCATGAAATGGTCAATTTAACAACAAAGAATGGGTGTTTGCAATGGCGGAACTCACCCTAGGCCATAGCCCACCCTAGCCATAGTGTACCTCTGCCATTGGTTGCATGTTTTGAAGTAAGTTAAAAATTCACCGTAAAACCAAATAACAATTTGATGAATAACCCAACTGCTTACAAGTACATGCAAAGTCCCATTTTTTTCGAATGTAAAATTCAATCTCAATATATTTTATGGGATCACTTAACAAAAGAAATTTAAGCCATGGGTTTATGACATTTTTGTATCTCTCTCCTAGTCCGTACATTGAATAAAAGAGTCGTCAAAAGTGGCATGGGAGGTCGTTTTCAGTTAATTCTCGTTGCTTTCTTTTGACACCTCCAAGCTTGTTTGGACTATTGTCTATCGTATATGTCGCAGGTCTTGCTTATCCACGACTTAATCATCCTTACAATCTCGAACTCTCTTTTATCTTAGATTATAAGTCCAACTATGTCCAAATTTGGATCCGCGTTAAAAATAGTTGGAAATAACATGAGAAAGCATACAAACCAAAACTGTAATCAGCCTAAGTAGGAGTGGACACGATTCAGTTTGGAGGAAAACAAGCGACTATTAAGTACGCATATTTTGTGTTTTATTCATCTATATACATACGAGTATTTCTTTGCTCCTTACAAGCTAATGACAAGCTGACACATATGCAAAACTAACCCATCATAATCACAAGGAAAAGCTTACGCACACCCGTCAAACTGTGATTTGTCTGTCTGAGAAAACATAACTCACAAACCTCAAAAGGACCGTAGCATGCCAACGATCCAAGCAACTTAAGAATCAAACAACTATAGCCTTGTGATATTAAATAGACGACCAAACATGCTTTGCATCATATACATATGGTTATCAAATCGAATGAATTAAATTTTGTTCTCAAAACAAATATCAAAGATATCTTGTTCATGGTAAAAAAAATAAAAAATAAAAAAAAAGTCGAGAAAATCTACTATTACAAAACAAAAAAAGATCACAAATCGATTTTATGTATATCCGAGCATTCAAAGTCCCCGCCAACAAATGACTGATCTCATAATTTCAGTCCCACTCCTCCCCCACCATCAATGCACAACAGGTTTAGTACATTCAAGCAAGATATTAAAGAAAGCCAGAAAATAGCATACAGAATTAACAAAGAGGAGTCATTTTATAGGCAGGCAAATGAGGATCACAAAAATCAGTAAGGAGCGTAGTAGTACCCGGCCGGTGGCGGCATCCCCATTCCATTCACCGGAGGCATTCCGTAGGGTTGCATTGCCATAGGAGCTGCTCCGTAGTATCCGGTCCCGCTGATTTTCTGTAAGCTGCCTTGCCCCTGCATTCCTTCCTTGGCATACTGATTCCACAGCTGCTGCTCCTGCATAAGCAAATGTTGCTTCTTCTCCAGATCCGCCATTTGCACATAGGATGGTGGCGGAACGGTTAATGATGCAGCGAATGGGTCCTGATTCACCGCCTGGACCGTCCCGTCTGGGGCGGGAAGAGCTAACACCTGTGTTGCGCTCTTGCCCGGCCCAGGCAATGCTACACTACTGGCACTACCACCAGTCAATTGGGCAGTACTCACATGCTGCCTCACGATGCCCTGATCATACATGCCGTCCAACAACAATGGATCCATCCCACCACCAAGATTTTGCTTCTGCCTAGATAAATTACTTGCTGTTTCCACCAACGCCAGTTCCCAATCCGCCTTCCCGGGTTCTGCAGCTGGAGTCTGCCAAGCCGAGGTGACTTGGGGCTGCCCGTCTGATGGGAAAGCTTCCCAGGATCCATTAGCACTTCCACCACCACCAGGACCGGCAAACAGGGCCAAAGCCAACTGATTACCCTGTGCATCAGCTGAAACCCCATTATCCCTCAAATCCACCAAATCCCCTACCACTTCCTGCTTCACCTCCGCCTTCTCCACAACCTCAGGTGGCGGCGGTGGAGTGAAACTCTCCGGCGCGGGCAGAGCCTTAATCTCATTCATATCGGGTTGGGGCTCCTCCTCAACTGGAGCCACAGGAGCAGGCTCCACCTTCCTCTCCGGACTCTTGGTTCCCTTGGACCTGTCCCTCACAAACTCCTCCAATGTCTCCAGCAACTTGCTCCCAATCCTTTGCACCTCCGGATACTCCGACGACCGCGCCAAACCCAAATCCTTACACCAACCATAGAACCCAACCAGCTCATCAATCTGCTTCGCCGCACTTGCATAAGCATCAAAAGCCTTAACGCAATCCGGATACTCCATATCAAAAAACTTATCCAGCAAAACCGCCAAAACCTCACAAATGTCAGCATACAGCTGAAAGCTCTCCTTCACCACCGGGTAAACCGCCACCAGAACCAACCGACTGCTCTTAGCCAACCCGGTGGGCCGCGTCGCCAAGAACCGATCCAACAGCCTCTGCAAATGACCCATTTTCGCGAAAATTCGCTCCGGCTTCATCTCCCTCAATGGGGTCACGCTCACAATTCTCTTCTCATCTCGCCCAGTTTCGACTCACCGAGTCATTCATATCGCCGTACGACCTCGACCTCCTCATCCCTCCTCCATTTTCATAATCGCGATCTCGCTCTCCTCCGTACTCATACTCGTAATTTCTCGGCGGCGGAGACCTGAAATTCGAAGCCCCGCCATACGAACCACCAGAGCTCTGTCGATCTCCCGCACCAAGACCGCCGCCTCCGCCGCCGCTCTTCCTCTCGAACAGCATCAGCTCGAGCCTCTGATCCAAGAACAGAGCATAAGTCCTCACAAAGGCAGAGTGGTCCCACGAGCTCGAGTGCGCCTCGTCCCTGAAATCCGATAGGTTCAGGAGGCGGGTCCCCCTCCGAGTCGCGTACACGATCTCGTCCCCGAGCACCGGGTCGCCATCGTTCAGGAGGCGGTGGACCAGCATCAACGCCTTGAGCGCCACGATCCAGTCGCGCGTCTTCCCCAGACGCTTCGACACCGCCGACACGCACGCGTGGACGTAACCCCTGGACGACGAAGTCAGCATCAGTATCTCGCGGACGTGCTTCTCGCTGGCCGGCTCGTCCTCGTGCGACGTCGCTTTGACGATCGCGACCTCGAGGTCCGGGGCCAGGTTGCTGGCGACCTTGGCGATGCCGATGCTCGTCTGATCCTTGACGGCTCCGATTGCTTTCCGGATCGTGCTCGGCGCCATCCCCGCCGTCGATCTGATTCGCTTCCGATTTAATATACCGCGCGGGCTGAGATTCAATGGAAATGACGAAACGGTTCACTTGGTTGAATGAATCTGGAGGAAGGTTGAGTTTCTAAAAATAGAAAGGGGCGTACATTTTGGTTATTTACCGTCGACGTCGGAGTCTCTAGATCTGCGGCGTGGACAGTCCGGCGAGTCGGATCTCGGAGCAGCCGACGACCAATCAAATTTCTCGTGTTTTTTAGTTGGGTTTGTTTGCTCTCTGTTTGTCTGGAACAAGAGAGAGAGTGAGAAAAAGCTGAATTTAAATAGTGGATTGGAGTTAGTGACGTGGAGGGCGAGAAGCCGTCGATTATATCTGAGATCTGGGATCTAGATGGGAACCTGGGAGAGACTGGCGGTGGTGTCGGGCGGCGTGTCTGAAACAATTATGACACGTGTGAGCGTGTTTGTATGAATGGGTTCGGATGGGGTGGAGCACGACCTATTTTAGTAAAAGGAGGCGCGACTGAGCGTACGGGTTACGGAGATACCTACTTGATTGATAGAGACATCCTAAAGTAAACTAACAAATATTTACCTTCAAAAATCTGTAAACTTGGGAAAGGGATCGTCTCCCTTCCACTAAATTCATCTAATTACTTAATTTAAATATTTAAAATTTAATTTAATGATTAAAATTATTATAATTTTTACATAAATTTTCTATTGTAACTGTTAAATTAAATTTAAAGATTTAAATTAATTAATTGATTAGACAGATTTAATAGAAGGAATTCAAGAATGATCTCTTTCCATACTTATATTCAAGTCCAAAAAATCCGACTGTTTCAAATCAAGTCCAGTTTTATTTAATTTGTTATTATACCCATTTTGTCCTTTAAAGTAAAAATAAAAATCGATTTAAATTTTTATATGGCTTTATCTACCCACCTCCTAATAACAAATATTTTAAAAACTATATACTACAAATATGATAAGTTTATCAAAAATTAAAAACTGTGGGAGGTAAGGAACCTGTGATATTGATATATAATTAAGGATCTATACTATATGTATATCATAAAGAAGAAAAACATGTGAGGTAGATTATAAACAAAAACCTATTATATAGGTAGATATGCAAAAGTATTGTCTACCTCCATGTATACCTATGATATAGGAAGGCAAATACTTTATACCTAGAAAGCAGATATACTCTACAAACTATGAGCAAAAACCTCTGGTACAAGTTGATAAACATTTAATTTGAGATAAATTATTATAAACATGTGATATAGGTAGATAAATTACTATTAATCTATAATACAGAGAGTATATAAAAAAATAAAAACAATAAAAAAAATGGGTTTTTCAACTTTAGTCCTTCAAGAAGATTGAAATTTGATAAAAACCTGATGTTAGATTACATATTGATTATAGTCCTTGATGTATTCAAAATAATTAATGTGTTTTTTATTTAATGTCTCCCATTAAATATTTAAATTCATTAATATACATATTTTAATTTATTTTTTGCCTTTTTTTTAATTTATTAGTTTTATTTAGCATTCTTCAAACTTGAAAGACTCAATTAGGGTACCTAAATGTTAATACCGAAAGGTTAGTATCGAAATGAATTATGTTGAATTAATGTACCAAAATCTAATACCGAAATGTATTATATTGAATTAATGTACCTAAATGTTTGTATTGAAATGTGTGTACTTAAATGTGCACCTAAATGTATGCATTATGAATTTAATATACCTAAATGAAGAAGACAAAATACATCGAAATATATTGTATAACAAAAACTAGTTTATCTAATGTTTACAACAAAATATATTACGATGAATGAAATAAAAATTAGAACCATAATGAAATATAATTAAGACATTAAAATTAGGAAGAAAAAGAGAAATAGTTAAAACATCGAAATATAATTAATAAATGAGGTGATTAATGTGTCAAGGGACTAAAATAAGATTTTGATCTTACTATGGTTTTAGTCTGCAATCATCTTTGCCAGTGATTAAAATGAAGTTTCCTATATAAAAAAATAAAATAAAAAATCCTATAATACAGGTAGATAAACACCAACGAAACCAAGTGTGGCATTCAGATCACCTTCTCACCCCTCATAATCACCCCAAAATCACCCAACCTATAATTCTTATGAGAGAGTTTTAAGTTATTAACGGATTAGTTCAAATCCTAAAATTAAGGAATCCGTCCAACTATTAATCCTAAAGTTGAGTGATTATGTGCATTTACATATATAATAATTTATAATCTTAAGGATATATTGATATGCAAAAGTAACAATGCATATGTGTAATCCTAGTCACCGGACCTATTTCACATAAGTGGACTATTTTCAATTTTGGCTCACAAAATTGGATCTATATCAAGTTTCCTCCAAATATGTTCCCTCATTTACCTTATATTTTCCATTTTTTACTCACTAATCCAAATAAATATTTCGTTTACGATTTTGTTATGACTTAAGGTTTAAATTGCTTGTATATTCAAATTCCTTTTTGGCTAAAATTGAATCTAAAACCTCTCATTTTTAAGTAAAGAGAATTATCACCCTCTCTTATTTTGTGTAAATAATATCATTTATTAAAAAAAAGGGTTGCGTTTATGTTTCTTAAAAACAAAAGTTGTGTTTATGTTATGCTGATAATTAAAGTATTAAAATGAGAATTATAGGGTAATATTAAATATATTGAGTTAATCGCAGATGTGGCGTCTTGATTAATTAATAAATATAAGTTGATATTGGTGGACAACTAACTTTCTTATGTGGTTAGTTAAATGTTTTTTATTCTCGAAATCTTGATTGTACTTTTGTTATAATAAGAAAAAGAATAAAAACAAATTTAGTGGTCTTTCTTTTTCTTGAAAATTACAAGACATCTAACAATTAGAGTTTTATTTTAAGTACTTTTATTTTATTTTATAAAGCTATGACAAACGTCCAATTAAACGTTCCATTTAAAAGGAAAGGCTTGAGCTTAATTTATGAATTAATGGATGTAAGGAAAATATACAGGGATTTTATTTCTTAAACTCCAAAATCAAAACGAGTTCTTTATTCAGCATTTTACTTTTGGTTGTTGTTTCTATATAAATAAAGAAGTGGAACAACCAATAAGAAGGTCGCGTGGCCTAATGGATAAGGCGCTCGCCTCCGGAGCGGGAGATTGTGGGTTCGAGTCCCACCGTGATCGATTGATTTTTTTTATTTCTTCTGACTTCCGGATTTCAATGTTTGTTTTTTCACTTTGCTCAAAACAAGAGATTTATTTTTATTGCTACCGAGGAAATTGCTCAACACCTAAAACAAGAGCTACATTACAATTTCACATCCAAATTATAATACGGAGCTCTCCCAAAAAGCCACACACACTCTCTCTTTCTCTCTCTCTCTCTCTCTCTCTCTCCAAAAATGCTGATTGCATGCATTTGGAAGAGGATGATATGTTTTAGTAGTGCAGTAGAGGGGTTTGAAGCCATTGATGATGATGATGGTGACTCACATTGCATATGCAGGTCTCAATATATTTTTCAAACTGGTAGCAGAAGTTGGAATGAATTTCACTGTCCTCATTGTTGTTTTCTGTAAATGTGTATAGTTTTTTGTAGGATTTCTGGAAAAGTTATAAAGCAGCAAGAAGAAAGATGAACTCAGCAGCGATGGGAGTACGTAGCTCCACGATTTCATCCGTCTTTCTTAGATCCGATTACACTACAGCAAAACAATCACACATATAGTGTGATGCTAGCAAAGGACAAAAGAAAGCCGTTGAGATTTCACGCGGTTCCCCTCGTGTAAGAGAGGTCATGTGCACCGCAGTCCGCACGGGCCAACTTGAAACACTACTAACTAATACACGGGGCTCACTCTATACTGTTTAGATGTTCTAATCTCAACCGTTCAATACATTCAAATACAACCTTCAAACATTCAAACTAGAATCTCTGAACTTCATGATAAATTATGACTTTTCTTGCAGCATGAGATTAGTGTGGGAAAGCACCTACTGCCACCGATCGATGTCATTGTATGAGATTTACATACATCAAGAAAAACGCACTCGATTTCATTTGTGTTCATTGCTTGTCTCTTATGAACGGGTTCTCTTGACTGCAGATACTTGTTCCATTTTGATAATTCTCTTGGAGAAATCGTTGATTATATGAGGCCAAGGATCAGGCTTAGCAGAAAAAAACCAATATATGTCTTTTTCAAGAACACTAAACCTTCCACTGGTGAGCCTTCCTCAGCTCATTTCATTTTTATTGTAGGCCCTAATCGAATCATATGTTGCTCCCAAAGTTGTGGTTGTAATAATTCTTGCATTGTTTTCAGATACCTTGATGTCTGCAATAGATGAGGGACGAAGATGATTTTGTTCACATTTCATACAGCGGATAGAGGAAGGAGCCTGTGGATCCAATGAATAGCAAGTAAGTGTAAGCCGTCGGAGCTTCGACTCGTCAAATGGTGCTGTAAGTATTTAGTTTTGTGACATGTCTCGAGACTTTTATAATGGACGGAGTTGGACAATGTTATGTATCATCACAGCAGCTGCACTTTCAAGTGAGATTCCCGTGATCCTCCTACACGCTTCCTGTTACGTTCCTCAGAGGAGCCAACACTGGAGACTTCAACAATATGTTTCACAAAACAATGAACAGATTAAGCATAACTCGAGAAATCTTTGCATGCAACGAGTATACACAGTGCTCTTTTAATTTGAACGCGCGATCAGGAGCGTTGTGTAAAAAAGCCGTTGTATGCAGAAGATTATGAGAACATTGATGAGCATGGAATGCAGCAAGTGCCTTCCTCCCACAAGAAATGGGTGTCCATGATTGTGTTCTACACGTTTGTCTTGAAAGGTTTTACCAATGCTCTCTTTTATCCGAGTGATATTCTACTTAAACTAATCTAAACTGCAAGAGGAGATTTAAACTCAGATGATAAGGGTATCCGCTCTAGGCTCTAATCAATGTGACTACTTATGTGTCTACAACCTAAAAATAAGTTAGAAGAGAGAATTGAATCTGTAATGTGAACGCAACTGCAAACTACCAATGTTTATTTGGTCTTTATCTTCACAAATTATATTTGATGATGTTGGAATGGTAAAATTAGTATTAGGAATTTAGGCTTACTTTGTAGACCTATAGTTGGTGAAGGACGTTTGTCGTTGCTTGAGGAAATCTACATAGAAGAAGCTTTTACGTGGCATTGGATTTGGATATGGGCTTCTTAATTATCAGTTGGTTCACGAGGGCTGTGATAACGGGCCACAACTTTATGAAATGGATTTTTGTTTGATGGGCTAATTCCAAAATCCAAGTGTAATTTCCTTCGTTTTTTTTTTCTTTTTTTTTTTCAAGTTTTAAAC